GATTGTGTATTGGAATGGAGAGCTTGACTATGGCAAGCCTTCTTTACTTGGATTGGGACAGAGAGAGTTGGAGACGTGAATTCCAATAACATTCTCCAGCTTTTGCTACTTATAGGTAACTCTCTGGTGGCTCTTCTCCTTTTTATTCATTGATTGAGTGTAAATAATTTAATTAAACCAGAGAACATAAGTTATATCAGGCATAACTCTGAGAGAGTAAAAAATTGCATGGTAAGGCAGATAACATTACATGTGAAAGAGAGGGGGAGAGGTTACCTTGGGAAAGTAAAACATGGAGGTGGAGATGGCCATGGAAATAAGAAAGAATGTGGAAAGATACAGGGGAGTAAAAAATGAAGGAAGGGGTGGTGACACTAAGAGAGTGGATAGGTGACAAAAATAGTAAAAGTAGATGAAGAGAGACAGGACATAAGGCTATGAAAAAGACTGGGGAGATGAAAATACTGTATGGGTGGAATTAAAGACTCATGATAAAGAGGACTCCCATAAGATTCTGGTACAAAGTCACTTCTCCTACTACTCTCTAGACATGTCCCTGCCCCCAATACTTATTAGGCGCCCTGAGCACCATGGAAAAAAAAACACTGATATCTGCTGTGGACTTTTTTCTCTATGATGTCTATGACATGCCAGTCGTGATGCAGCTCATAACTCTTCATCGCTGCATATATGACATAGATCTTGAAATTGTAACCTTTACACAATTCATTGCTCCCTGTATTGTATGCTTGCTAATTCTGTTGCTACATTTGGACACAGTGGGGAAGATTTCCCTGTTTGGCTGAAACTTCCATGTTGAATTTCCAGCCATTTCTTGTGCAGTTTGTTATATCTGTTTCTTCCTTTGCACCCTAACGGACATGTTTGAGTATGCGGTAATTTGTACAGCGATTCGGCAGATTTATGAATCTTTCCGCCACTGTTCTGTTTCACTTCTCTTTTTTTCAGCCACTCCAAATTTTCTGAAAAGGACATTTACACAGAAACAGGTGGTATTTACTATTGAAGAAATTAGCACCTTTAGAACATTTTAATAAATACAGTCAAAATAATGATAGAATTTAGCCCTCACTTTACAGAACACTTTGATAAATATAGCCCAAATGTATGCCTAGTTTCAATATTGTCTATTCAAAAAATAGCTGTTCTCATTTCCTCTTATTTTCCTTTTTATTCTGGATTTTTTTTTAAATCTTAGGAACATTCCAAAAACTAAAAACTTATACAGACACTCCATGCATTTTAACCACTACAGCACACTATAGTAGTTATGGTGTCAGGAGTGCCTTGGAACCCCATGCTGTTTTAAGTAATCAATCTTCTGTAGACTCCACTACTTGTCTCCACTAGTTCCAACAGAGAGCCAGAAGCTTCTGCTTATGATGTTCTGTTTGCTTTCCTGAGTAAGAGAAATCGATACTTTTCTGAATTGATTTGGGACAGTTTTGGAACAACCACTGGCTAATAAGCTGACACCCAGTAGGAGGATCAGCAAAAACAATCTACAATTATATATTTGTATATTTATTAAATATATACTATATGAAGATAAACATATAGATTTTCTTTACTGCTTATCCTCTTTTAATCACTCTATCAGTCACTTTTCACTTAACCTGTGAAAAAAAAATCAACATTTAGTGACTGACCCCCAACCGTCGATCATCAAATCACCAAAATTCATAAAAATCTCAATTAGTTGGAAACCGAATGCACACGTCTATAAAATGTTATGCCATATTTTGTGAAAGATCAAATTTGACAATGAACTTTCTTGACTCCTGTTTATCCTCACGATTTCTCTTATAATGAATTATTTCCTGAAGGTTTCTATCCCATGATACCCACTGGCAGCCTTTCAGGCTAATAAAAGTCACAGTTAAACAAGTGACCTCTGCTTTACTCGGTTAACCCTGAATTCATTTAACTGATGTTATTTTGCCAAATCCTTGAGGGTATGACACCTATGTGCAACTCAAAATGTTTTTAAGTATGTTTAAATGGTTTATTGGCCAGTCTAGAATTCACCTTGTTTCTAAGCCATAAAATGCTTCTGAATTGTCAAACTATTTTACTCCCAGGAAAAGTTACATATTGTTTGTCTTTTTGCTTGTTATAATTGCCCTATTCTGTCTTCCTGTGTTTTATTCCTACACGTTTTCTGCAATTCATCATAACATTCTGTTTATATAAATACAGTAATTTACATTTAATTTCTATACTATTGCAGTAGTCCCTCTGCGGTCAACCAGTCAACTTGATATGACCTAGCTACAAAATGAAAAATAGCAAATATTGCTACTACAGTAAATATAAGAACATCTTCCAATACTAATTGAAATAAAATCACAAACATATTCACATCCATACTATTTATGCACCTGAATATAAATATATATATATATATATATATTTATTTATTTATTATTAAATTAAGCTTTTTGTAGATATTTATTTTTCTGAGCCTGTTCAATGAATGCAAGGTAAAATGTGCAAAGCTGACTGATGGCAAACTGAGAACATGAATGATCCAAACTACAGCTGCTCTATCAAATATTAAAGAAGAGATGAGACTTTAAGCCTTGTCCTGGGCTTTCACTGTAAAACGTATTTTCAGTTCTCTTTGCTCTTGTTATCTATTTACCATTTGTACCATTGACTATGCATCTGTTATCCCTTATGGTATCTATTCTTCCAAACCTCTGTGTTTAATACAAAGAATTGCTAATTTTACACATGCACACATGGACGCACACATACACATTGGTTTTATTTTATTTTTTTCATTTATTGATATATATATATTTTTATATATGATATATCTTTTTGACATTTTAATATTTTGAAAATAATTTGAAAAGTGTATCCAAAAATATGAAATAAAAATATGAAATTTTGGAAAGCTTTTCTTAAAATATTAAAATATTAAATTAAAGCCATACTGTCTAATAACAGTAAGGATATTGATAACTCCTGACATAATGTTATTGCTATCAACTTACTGAAAATCAGAGATAACAAAGATCATATATATAGGACTGAGGTTACATATAGTTATATAGGTAAAACTGTTACAACTGTGTTACTGCTGTTGATCCAAAAGAAGACAAAAAAATAAATACATTTTAAGCAATGTCTAATTTTGCCAAAAATTAGGACAAAAATTCCTTCATGAGTTAATTTTAGAAGTCAGATTTCTCCATGGAACCACAAAATATTACCTCTATTAACTATCTTCACTCATTCTTAACTAATTTTATTACATGACAGGAGGCTTCCTATTTTGCATAAACTTTCTTTACTTTATGCCTCCAGCAGCACAAGTCAATCAATCAGAAAAGAAAAAGTTTAACCAATCAGAGTCCAGCACCTCTTGTATATAAGTCCCTGACAGGCTTCCCATTTCCTCTTTCTTTGCTGCTTCCAGCCAAGGCACAGGTCAGAGTATTTTCTTCTGCTGTTTAGTTTACCTTTAATTTAAATATCAGATTTGTGTAATAATAATATAGCATCAGAGTATTTTTACCTAGTAGAGTTTTATTGTTATTTGAGGGTTAGCCCCCCCTTTTCTTGCGCCTCTCCCCCTGCCATTACCCCCCCCCCCTCCTCATTTTGCCCCTGGCTTTTCGCGACGAGTTTTTACCGCGACCGCGGCTTTAAATTGCCGTGGTCGCGGCTGATTAACGTGGCCGGCTCTCCGGCGGCTCGGGCAACGTAGGGCGGGCGGGTGGGGGCCGGGGTCGGATAGCTCCTAAGCGGGCCGCGATCAACGCGATCGCGGACCGCGCTTAGATTTGGCGCGAACGGCCATCTTGGATCTCGCTACTCGCGAGATCCAAGTCGGCCATCTTAGGTGGGGAAACCGTGATTCACACGGTCCCCCGTTTTGCATCCCCACTCCTATCACCCTCTGTCTGCCAGGCCCCTCTATAGAGACAGGGGACCTGGGAGGGAGAGGGTGCTAGTATTGCTCATACTTACCCCTGCTCTGGGGGATCCTGGTCTAGGGAGTATCACCATATATATAATATTGTTCCCCCTACCTGCCGTTTTGGGGTACTGCAGAAGCAACCTGTATAAATAAAAAAGGCATAGAATAAATATACAAAAAAAAAAAAAAAAAAAAAAAAAAAAAAAAAAAAAAAAAAAAAAAAAATAAAAAAAAATAATAAGCTCTTCCAGAGGTGACCCCTCTGAGTGGGGTGACCCCCCACTGGCACACTATTATTGTTATCAAGGGGTGACCCCCCTGCGCTGGGTGACCCCCAGGCGTGTGCCATACTATCCGAAGAGCGGGGTGACCCCCCTACTATTTATGCTGTTACGTGTGGTCGGCACCCTCCATACTATGACTGGGGTGTCCTGCTCATGCTTTTTCCACTGGGGAAATCTGTCACACTTCTCCCCCAATAAATAAAAAAAAAAAAAAAAAAATAAAAAATAAATAATAAGCTCTTCCAGAGGTGACCCCTCTGAGTGGGGTGACCCCCCACTGGCACACTATTATTGTTATCAAGGGGTGACCCCCCTGCGCTGGGTGACCCCCAGGCGTGTGCCATACTATCCGAAGAGCGGGGTGACCCCCCTACTATTTATGCTGTTACGTGTGGTCGGCACCCTCCATACTATGACTGGGGTGTCCTGCTCATGCTTTTTCCACTGGGGAAATCTGTCACACTTCTCCCCCACTGGGCTTTGAATTAAGGGCACGACCCGTGCAATATCTAGGCACTACGACCTAGCCGAGATTTCTATATCCTAGACCGCTCAGTCCGGTCAGCCGGAGGGTGACCCCCTCGCTAGCCCAGAATTACAGGCAGTGTCAATACCTAAAACAGGTTGTTTGATCTGGGCCCATTGGCCACACTAGACGACCCCCAGTCGTAGGAGGAACGCCGTACCTCCTTATTACTGCCTTGTACTATTCACGTACTTCGGTACCTGACTCTACCCTGTCTTTACAGACAGTGATTGCAACAATGAACATGGGTGAACCCTCACAGCAAACTCCACCCGATTTTCAGGCACTAATTAATTCAGCGGTGGCGGCCTCAATGGAAAAGGCCATAGCGAAACTATTGGTCCAAACCCCACAGGGGGACCCGGACACCAAAGGCCAGGAGAAGCCTTCAGGGGATAGTGCTCCCCCTAAGAGACATTGGAAGGGCAATGGCCCAGCCCCACGGACGGCAAAGGGCAAAGCCCCACTCAAAAGGAGCCGCCCATCGGACCACTTAGATCCGTCAACACCCCCGCTGACATCATCCGATGACGAGGGAGGTAACTCACCAACCCCGCTGGAAGTTATGGACGAGTGGGGAGTGGGGGACTCCCCATCTGAGGAGGAGGACTGGCTCGACATACCCCGCGGCCACACAGGGTCGGAGCGGGTCGAGGAGCAGGACATCCGTCATGGGCACTGGAAGGCCGATACACAGGCAGACGACCTGGAGGACGGCACCTTCGTGGACCCCCAAGGCAATCCGTTGTTTGATCCACGTACGATACGTCACCCGAGATCATTGGAATGGGGCCTACCGGACCATTTGGCCCAATTCATTCATTTTTGGCTACGACAACCTATGGACAAAGAGGTCCGGGCGAGACTGAAGTCCGAGTGTCCAAGACCTATTGGGCAACACCAATGCCGCACTCTGCGCGGAGCGACGTAAAGCCGCGCTTCTCAAGATGGACTCCAAGCTCCTGGAACTCGGCAAGAAAGAATTGGGGCCACGGGCCAATGGCCAACTATTCGGAGAAGCCTTCATTGGCGAGCTAAAGAAACATGTGAACTTATTTACGACATTGAGCAAGGCCCAGACTTCCATTAAACAAGTTTTTCGTAACCCTACTCCAACCAGAGGGGTTTTCGGCAGGGCTGGTCGCCATCGGGGCCGAGCCACCAGCCGTTTCTGGCCTACAGGCCCCAGGAATCAAACTTCTCAGTCGTTCTTCCCATCGAGACCACCCTTCTCGAGAGGAACCTTCAGACCCAGAGGAGCTCGTACCCGCGGACGCGGGCGCTTCAATACAGGTGAGCACCCCTCAAGTACCATTGTGCCTCTCCCCTGTTACTGCTGGCAGACTGTCTCTTTTTTCGCAGAACTGGGAAAAGATATCCTCCGATGCCTGGATCCTTCAAACGATCAGGGGATACGAGATCGATTTCGCGCACACACCGACCCAATCACGTCGACCACAACCGATACGAACGTCGGTGGAACTCACCAAGCTCATAGACGACGAGGTCCGAGCACTATTCCTCAAAGGGGCAGTCGAATTCGCCCCCGACGACACGGGTTTCATCAGCAACATATTTCTAGTTCAGAAAAAGACAGGAGATTACAGACCTGTCATCAACCTACGCGAACTGAATTCATTCGTAGCCTACAGACATTTCAAAATGGAGGGCATACATCTCCTCAGAGATCTACTACTGGAGCACGATTGGTTCACACGCTGGATTTAAAGGATGCCTATCTGTCAGTTCCGATGGCACAGTCCAGTCGACCTTTCCTTCGATTTCACTGGAAAGGACGCACATGCCAGTTCACGTGCCTCCCATTTGGTCTCAGCTCTGCCCCTTGGTGCTTCACGAAGCTTCTGAAGCCAGCCATGGCGCATTTACGGACAAGAGGGATCCGATGCCTAATCTATCTAGACGATATACTTATTTTCTGCAACAACGACTCCAAACTGCGTTCTCAGACGAAATTCATAGTGCACTTTCTGGAATCCTTGGGTTTCATCGTGAACATGGAAAAGTCAGCTCTCTCCCCATCGAAAGTGGTGCAGTTCCTCGGATTCGAGATAGATTCAGTATCATGCACACTCCGCCTTCCCAAGACGAAGATTGCGAATATTCGGAAGGAGATACGGCGTTTTCTTCGGAAAGACATGGTCCCTCTGAGATTACTGGCCAGGATTGTCGGCCTACTGTCATCCTCCATTCAAGCAATTTTCCCGGGACCCCTCCACTACCGAGCCATGCAAAGGCTGAAAGCTCACCACCTGAGACAGGGTCACTCATACGATCAAGCGATCAGGATAACCGCGGAAGTGCGGACGGAACTCCGTTGGTGGCTGCTCCACATGGAGGCTTGGAACGGCAGAGCCATATTCGGTTCGAACCCGGATTTCATCCTGGAATCGGATGCCAGCCTGTGGGGCTGGGGAGCCCACTGCGCACACGCATCCACGGGAGGTCCCTGGTCGGAGGAAGAAAAGTCACTACACATCAATTGCCTGGAGTTGATAGCCGGCTCATTCGCCATCCGCAGCCTGGCCAAGCATGTGTCCAATTGTTGTATACTGCTACGCATGGACAACATATCGGCAGTCCAATACGTGAACAGACTAGGAGGAGCCAGATCACGGACATTGACGGAGGCTACCAAGGACATCTACCAGTTTTGTCTCCCTCGCAACATAACCCTCAGAGCGGAATACTTACCAGGCCTCAACAACCTCACGGCGGATTGGTTCTCTCGTCATTGGCGGGACTCCAGCGATTGGCATCTGGACACGGAGATCTTCAATACGGTGAGATCGATCAGGGGACCACTCCACATAGACCTTTTTGCCTCACGCACGAATACGCAACTACCGAGGTACTACAGCTGGTTGCCGGATCCCCAGAGCGAAGCAGTGGATGCCTTTCTACAGCACTGGCCTTCGATGGGAGCGTATGCCTTCCCACCTTTCTCGATGTTAGCAAGAGTGCTCCACAAACTACGCACATCCAAGACATCGCTGATCCTGATCACACCCTTATGGAGAAGCCAGGCATGGTTCCCCGACTTGCTCGCACTATCTCACGACCACCCGCTGGTCTTACCAACGTTCCCCACACTCCTTACGAATCCGGATGCGGAACCTCATCCCCTCATACTTCAAGAACGTCTAGAGTTGGTAGCCTGGACGCTTTCAGGGGATCTTGGGCAATCCCAGGCTTATCGCAAACGGCTAAGGACCTCCTTTGGGACTCTTGGGCACCAGGGACTAGACGTAACTACATGGCAGCATGGAATGTATGGGACCGCTGGTGTTTGGGAAGGAGCCTCGATCCCTTTACAGCACCTGTATCAGACATACTGAATTTCCTTTCCACTTTGTTTTCCAACGGGAAATCATACCGATCCATTAACGTTACACGATCCGCTATATCGGCGGCTCATGTTCCAGTTAACGGGAATCCAGTGGGTCAGGAAGCCTTAATATGTCGACTATTACGAGGGATCAAATTGGCTAGACCACCGACACCGAGGTATCGCCAACTGTGGGATGTGGACGTGGTCATTCGTTTCATTCAGAACTGGCCGGATAACGCTGACCTATCACTCAGACAATTAGCAGCCAAACTTACCTTATTGTTGTGCTTAGTCTCTTTCCGACGGGTATCGGATGTTCGGGCTTTCGACGTGGACGGATTTACGATAACGCCCGTCGGTGTTACGTTTTTGATATCCCGAAGGACTAAGACGGACTCCAAATCCGTGTCCTACCCGTTTTTTCCGGCGGTTCCTCGTCTTTGTGTCGTCTCCACTTTACTCCGTTACGTGGAGGTTACGGCGCCGCTTCGGGCTACCGGATCGGGACAGCTGTTAATCTCGTATACCAGACCATACAAGCCAGTGACCACTACTACGTTAGCTAGATGGATACGATGGCTGCTGTCACTAGCCGGGATAGATGCTAGTTTCGGGGCCCATTCGGTTCGAGGGGCGGCGGCTTCTAAGGCCTTCTCGGCGGGTGCCTCCCTTGCGGACATTCTACGCACAGCGGATTGGACCAGAGAGAATACCTTTAGGGTGTTTTACTTTCGCCAATCATCACACGCGTCCTTAGCGTTTTTACCCCAGCGTTAAAAATGCAAAATAGGAAGCCTCCTGTCATGTAATAAAATTGTAGATTATGCTAGCGTAGTGTACAGATAATCTTAATTTTAATAATGACAGGAGGCGAGTATTTTCCCCCCCTTTTTCTTGGTCATTCCCTCCCTATACTCTGAGGTTTCACACACTATTTCAGTTAGCTATGGGTAAAAACTGGGATAAAGGACGCTTAAACCAGATGTCATTTACTATTTAGTTCAGTTATCAGATCAGACTATACCTCTCTGTGTACATAGGATTATGTGACTGTTAGTAATGCTAACGTTGAGGTGTTACTTTTAGAATTTAGATACTACAGGAGTTTCTTGCTAGAGTTAAGACTAGACTTAAAGGTTGATATGCGGACGACAGTCGTTTTCCCACGCCTTTCACCTTTTTTCTATGTCTTTCAGCTTAATCTCACTTCATGAGACAGAAGTCGGACCCTAGACATTTCTCTACGTTCCACAAGTTTCCACAAGTTGACAAGTTGACAAGCTATTACGTTCAAGTTTCTGCATTTACGAAAGAATTGTCGCTTTCCGGCATGATCACAACAAAGAAAGAGGAAATGGGAAGCCTGTCAGGGACTTATATACAAGAGGTGCTGGACTCTGATTGGTTAAACTTTTTCTTTTCTGATTGATTGACTTGTGCTGCTGGAGGCATAAAGTAAAGAAAGTTTATGCAAAATACTCGCCTCCTGTCATTATTAAAATTAAGATTATCTGTACACTACGCTAGCATAATCTACAATTTTCTTGAATATTCTCACAGGACTATTAAATCAAGTGAGATTTTTTGGGTATTCAAAGTGAATTCAAACTGAATTTGTAAATGTATGGTCAATTAGCCAAACTAAAAAAATAGAATTGACTTGGAGAATTTTTCTAAATCAGTTATTATGACCTACATTTTTAAATTCACTTTGAGTTCCTAGAAGTTCTCACTTTAGTAAATAACCCTGTCTGCTTTTCCAAAATAAGCATCCAGACAATGTTTAAAAATCTGTATAGAATCTGATAAAAAACAAACAAAAAACCTTTAACCCCTTAAGGACCAAACTTCTGGAATAAAAGGGAATCATGACATGTCACACATGTCATGTGTCCTTAAGCGGTTAAGCAGATAATTATTTATTGTTTTTTATTCTAAAAACCCCTCTCCTCTGATGTACATGAAATCTCTTTTCTTCAAGTCTAACTGGGTGATATCTCATCCTTTGTGGAGTTTTACTAATAAACAGAATATCAGACAGGTGTTTGCACTGGAATACATATATAGTTGTATGATGTTTCTATTCACTCTTGGAGTTGCCTTTCATCTAAAGTAAACAAATTCAATTTTTTTAGCCTATTTATAACTAAAAAAATGTATTCCCCTAATTCATTTGTAGCTTGCCTCTGAACTCTTCCTTGTTGCACAACATCCTTCTTTCAAACTTCTTAAATGCATAGCTTTGCATTTATCTACTGTAAATATCTTCTACAACATGTTTGCCCAGTTCTCTGATTTGTCCAAACTTTGCCAAACTTGCTTTTTCTGTTTTCACATTCTAATCAAAC